TCCACCAGTACCCCCAAGTCCTTCTTGGCAGGGCTGCTCTCAATCCCTTCATCCCCCAGCCTGTGTTGATACTGGGGGTTGCCCCAGTATTGGGAGCAAATATATTATATATTAGGGGATCAAAGGGATAATTCAGCCTTCGTCCCCTGGCTTCACGCTCAACCTGTTGCCGCTCCGGGTCCCGTCCTGACCGTCTCGCTCTCTATCTGCAGATCTACACCTTTGGCTGCAACGATGAGGGCGCCCTCGGGCGCGACACCTCGGCAGAAGGGTCGGAGACCACGCCGGGGCTGGTGGAGCTGCAGGAAAAGGTGGTGCAGGTCTCTGCAGGGGACAGTCACACAGCCGCGCTGACGGAAGACGGCAGGGTTTTTGTCTGGGGCTCTTTCAGGGTACGTTGATTTCTCGGACGCTGGAAGCTCTGCTGATGGTTGCTGCTTCTGTGACTCATGTCCCCGCGTCTGTGTCTCCACCCAGGATAACAACGGGGTGATCGGCTTGCTGGAGCCCATGAAGACGAGCTCCGTTCCTGTGCTGCTCCAGCTCAGTGTACCCGTCGTTAAAATTGTCTCAGGTGAGCAAGGTCCTGGGGTGCGCGCGGGTCAGGCTGGTGCACGAGGTTGTCACAACCCCCGGGAGGAGGTGAAGGTCCAGAAGGTCCATGTCCTTTTTCTCCCTCTTGGCTGCTCCGAGCCCGGTACAAGGGTGTGCTTGCTCTACTCTGGCTCTTGAGAGAACAGACTTTGTCTCTCTTCTAGTCCCAACAATATTGTTAATATTTGACTCAATCTGATGTAAAATGCCTTACAAGAGTGCCCTAACTGCGACCCCGCGGGGTCAAAGCGCTCACCCTCTTCTAGACCCGGGGAGGCTGAGCAGGGCAGCTGGGGAACTTGCCCAGGGCCCAGGTGAGGTTGGGGGGGACCTGTTCCCCTAAACCTTCCCAGAGAAACTGCTTTGGAGTTTCAGATGGGGAACTGGGATCAGGAAGAGGGAGATCACAGTGTTTTAAGTTGTGCCAGAAACTGGCATCGAGGTATCCCCGCTGATTTCTAGAAAGCTGGGACAGCTGGGGTTTACATGTGGGATCTCAGCCCCTGGCTCTTGCTGGGTTCCTGGAGCATGACTCCTGCTTCGCTCATCTCCCCCGTCTCCTCCCAGGGAATGACCACTTAGTGATGCTGACGGTGGACGGTGACCTCTTCACGTGCGGCTGCGGCGAGCAGGGCCAGCTGGGGAGAGTGCCGGCGCTCTTTGCCAACCGAGGAGGAAGGAAAGGCCTGCGTGAGTTGCGTTGGTGCTCGGAGGCGCGCGGTGCAGCGTCCTTCGGCCCCAGCTCTGCACTTTGCAGAGGAGCAAAGAGACCCAGTCTCTTCCCCTGCCGCTCAAGGGCTCGCGTGTAAATCGGTTGTTTGGATTCAGTGAGCTGGATCTAAGGGGGGATGAAAATGGTGTAGATCACTAGACCTCGTGTGACGCCTTGTCTCCTGCCCCCAGAGCGCCTGCTGGTCCCCCAGCGCGTCCCTGTCAGAGGCAAAGGCAACAGAGGCAAAATGCGTTTCCAGGATGCCTTTTGCGGGGCGTACTTCACCTTCGCCGTCACGCAGGAGGGACACATCTATGGATTCGGCCTCTCCAACTACCACCAGCTGGGTGAGCTTTGCTTACGTCCCTCCGGATCTTCTGGCTGCAGACTTCCCCGTCCCGTGCTGCCCTGGCCTGGTGGGGGGAGGCTGCTGGGCACCCCAGATCCTGAACACCAAGCACCCGCTGGACACACTGGAGCTGGAAATTGGGGTGGGGGGGTCACCCTGCGTAGCTGTGGGTTTAGGTCCCAGCCCCTGCAGCCAGTGGGTTTGAGCAGAAATTTGATTTGGGGACTCGGGGGGCCGTGTTAGTCTCTGGTGGGGTGAGCCCCAGGGTGGATGGGTCTGTGCTGGTGCCTGGCCTGGGCTGTCCGTGCCTGTGGACCTGATCTGCCCGGGTTTATGCGTCCCGCCCCGCAGGGACCCAGGGCACCGAGCCCTGCTTCTCCCCGCAGAACCTGACGTGCTTCAAGAACTCCACCAAGTCCTGGGTCGGGTTCTCCGGCGGGCAGCACCACACGGTGTGTGTCGACTCGGAGGGTGAGTGCCGGCGTGATGGGCGGGCTGGGAGTCGCACAAAGCAGGACCGGGGGGACTCCCATGGCCCTCATCCTGGCTGGGGAGGTGTCGGGGTGAGGGTGATGTGCTGGGGCCCTCCAAGTCCTCGGTGTTCAAGGCAACAAGGGTGGCATGAATTTGCAGCGAAGGGTGGGGAGGATGACAGGAACCTGGAGTCACTTGTGAACTCTGCTCTTGCAGGCACAACAGTCTGTCCAGGCACCTGCCCACCCTATTGATTTTGGGGAGCTCAAGGGTCTCTATCCCACCCTGCACCTCCTGGTTGGGATCTAGGGTGTGGTAGGGAGGAGCGACGCTCCTCCAGGAATCAGACAGGGGGGAGAGGGTCCGGCTGTGGCCTGCTGCAGGCGTCTGCCCTCCTCGAGTCACCTCTCCTGTGTGTCTGTCATGCCCCAGGTAAAGCCTACAGCCTGGGCAGGGCCGAGTACGGCCGGCTGGGCCTCGGGGCGGGGGCGGAGGAGAAGAGCACGCCCACGGTCATCCCGGAGCTCCCCAGCATCTCTTCCGTCGCATGCGGCGCATCGGTCGGCTACGCCGTCAGCAGTGACGGTGAGTGCCGGGGGCCTCCGTGGGCTCAGGATCGCCACCCTATGTACCCTCCCCACCCCTCATCCATCTGTCCTGGTGCTTTGCCCAGCCCGGTCCCCCTGGATCCGACCACCGGCCCCGCACAGCTTCATGGCAGGCTGCTGGCTGGGTCGGGACTGGAGCCAGGTCCTGGCGCTGATGCAGCCCCTGCCGAGCACCCAGCCCGGGGGCAGCTGGGCAGCAGCTGCTCAAATATTTTTTGTGGGCCCTTGGCAGCAAGGTTCGTAACGGTGTTGACCGTGAGGGGGTTGTTGGCCTGCCGGTCCCTTCTCCGCACCCTGAACTCCGCGGCTGCGAGACCTCCGTGCTGTGGTGCTGTGCATGCTTGTGCGTGGCATCTGCAGCCCGCGGCTGTGGGAAGGAGGGTTTGTAGTGGGCTGATGGATTCGCTTTGCTCCCCGGGGGCAAAACGCTGCCTTGGCTGTGTGATGAAATGCCTCTTTGGGTTGCAAGCGCTGCTCCTCTTCCTCCTGCCTGCACCTCTGGCAGCCATCACTAAGCCCACTGCCCGGGTGTGAAGTCCCCTCGGGTTTGGCTGCTGGGTCCCCTTGTCACCCCAACCTGTGGCCACCTGGAAGCCAAAACTTGAGTCACCTCCGTTGCAGGACGAGCGTTTGCCTGGGGCATGGGCACCAACTACCAGCTGGGCACAGGGGAGGAGGACGACGTCTGGAGCCCCGTGGAGATGACGGGCAAGCAGCTGGAAAACCGCACGGTCCTGGCCGTGTCCAGCGGCGGCCAACACACTGTGCTGCTGGTCAAGGACAAGGAGCAGAGTTGATGAAACGACGCCGCGCAGCCGAGCCCAGCGGGATCGCGGGACCCGCACACCCCCCACACACCCCTTTTGCCCGGGTCGGGTGACCGGTTTCCAGCTCTGGTCTCCCACTGACGGCGGTGGGGAGGGCGGGAGGCTCCCGGAGCCGGACCCCGGCAGCGTCTGCGTGGCTGGAGCAGGGCTCTTCAGGGATGCTCGTGATTTCTCCCTGCAAGCGTGTGTCTGTCTTCCCGTGGTGCCCGGTGCTCTGTCAGCTCCCCCGGGTCGGCTTGGTCCTAAACTGATCTCAGTACTGTGGCTGGATGGGTTTTCCACTTCTTCTCATTTGTTGGGTTTTGTTTTTTTTTTTTTAATATTTTCTGGCCTGGCAAAGCTGAGGGCCTTGTTCTTCACTACACAAAAGGGTTTGGGCATTGGGCTTTCTGAGGTCCCCGTGTTTCCCCAGTCTTTGGGTGCTTCCCCCATCCACGTAACCTAAACATCTTTTACCTCTCCAACTTGGATGTGTCTGCTGCCACGCACCCAACCCCTCTGGGCTCGTCCCGGGTGAGATCTCGGTCCAGCAGAAACGCTCCCGGGGAGCTCTCTCCTCTCGCGCCCAACGCTTGTGGCTGCGGTGGGGAGTTGCCGCCGGGCGGCTGGGAGCCTGCAAGGGGGAACGCTGCTGGATGATGCCCGGCCCGCGCTGTGCACAGAGCTGTGGCTGCTGGAAAAGGGGGGCTCCGGCCTCCC